GCAGAGAAGGAAGCTGAGGCCCAGATGAATCAAGTGATTTGCTCAAAGCCTAGTTTACCGGCTGGGTCCACAGGATCTCAAATCCTGCTGAGGCCCTGGCCTCCCAACTCAGAGCCGCCAACGGGCCTCCCTCCCGACCTGGGTAGGAGGTAAGTCACTGGGAGGCACAGAGGACCGGAGCCAGACCCCTCAGGAGGACTTATTCTGTCTCGTGCACCCAGGGACCAATTAGGGCAGCCCCCCAAAGACTCCCCGTCCTAGTCGGTCAGCCCTGCCTGAGGGATAGCAGTGGCTGGACCAGCAGAGAAGGCTGCGTGCTTCTAGCTAGGGAGAGCGTGTTCCATGAAGATGGAGAAACAGTGTGGACAGGAGATGAAAGCGCAAGTCCACAGAGCAGCACTAGTATCAGTGTGACCTTGGGCAGTTCACTTGACCTTTCTCAAGTCCCTCATCTGTAAAACGGGGACATAAAGGGGATCTTACAGGAATGTTGAGAATTCCATGACAAAATGTGTGTCTGTGCTCTGTATACTGTAACATACTAATCAATGGGGGTTATTAATCATAGTGACAGAGATTTCCTATCTTGAACAGAGGTGTTTTTACTCTACACAAAGGAAAGTGAAGACCCTTTGTAGACTGTAAAGCACTGTACACATCAAAGGAATTGCTAGGAGGCCTGAGGTTAGTGATGGGGTCCATCGCGGAGGGATACAGGGGGCCACACACCCCATCTCCCCAGGTGCGTTCCTATAAAGTGTTTGAGAATCGTCAGATGACCTTGGCCGTCCTCTGGCCATGGAGCTGGCTGCTCTCGTGAAGGCTTTCTATAGTCAGATGTTTTACCAAGGAAACTGGAACCAGATGTACTCAAGAACTCAAAAGAAATTAATGGCATTAAGACTCGGGGGTAAAAATATCTGTGTGCACTGAGCTTGCTCTCTCAGCTCCCTTTCTATCTAAGGATCATTTAGGCTTAATTATAGAGTTCAGGCATTCACTGGGTTTTTTATTTTCTTCTCAGCTGCAAGAGTGTGAGTGTAGTGGGTCTGCGTCTGCGTGTGTGTGTGTGTTTATATCTTTCTCTGCAACTCAGCTGGGAGCTGGCTCTGGCAATGTTTAATTGTGGCCTCGGTTCTAACAAGAACATTCAAGGTGCCAAGCAGAGCTCGGAAGGCCATTGTTTCCGTGCCTGCGCCCTGCGGCTGCTCCCGACGCCATGAGGGATAGCGGGTGGCAGGGCCTCGCTCAGCTGAAACCTCAGCTGCGGGATGTGCGCTTTCCGCCTCCTTTTGTGTTTATGGTGCTTAAGGGATCCTGAGACCAGGAGAGATTTCCTGCTCCACTAATTACCAGCACCATGCTAGGAGCTGCCCCGTGACAGCTCACCCACATGGCATCCGACAGGCATTGTTCCTGGGTCAATCTCCCTGGGAATGACTAGGTTCTCTGCATGAGAAAACAGCGTTTGTTCTCTTATTTTTAATACGTCCACTTAGTGGGTGGGGAGGGACTCCATGACTGTGTAGGTGCCAGTCGCTGGCTTTCTCCCTCTCTCCCTTCTGTTTGTGCCCCACAGTTAGGGGACAACTGGGGAGGCAGCACGGGGACGTGGAAGAACACGGGACTTGGAGCCAAATGACCCCGCTTGAATCGTAGCTCCTGCCACTTTGTGTGTCTGTGTGACTAAGTCACTGAACCCCTTAGGATCTCAATGTGTCTGTAAAATGGGAATAATACCAAGATTATACTCCTCCTAAGCCTGTCTAGGGATGAGAAAATGCATATGGAAGACTTTGGTAAAATAGAAATCAAAACACTTTTATTTTACTGCTCAGAATTGCTGCTTAGAACATGATATTGGCCTATGAGATGTCATTCCTAGCACCAGGACAGATGGAGCGGTGAAAAGGCCCGCAGAATGGGAGTGGCCAGGGGGCAGCCCTCCAACCTTCCCAGGTGCTGAGGACCAAAGCAATGGCTCGGGATTGTAAAATGCTTATAGCCACGGGCCCAGATTAAGAGTTCAATCTCAAAATAGCTGTCACCGATAAGGAATCTAGAAGCTTCACTTTTCGGACATAATTGTAACAAGGATTTCCGCCTGTTCTTTGAAGGATGGGTCCAGTTGTCCCTAGTTGAATGGTCCAGGGATGGTGACAAGCTTTGGCTGGAAGACAAGGAGAGGACTATGGGTCTCAGGTAAGTGTGACCGTGCTGTGATGTGCGATTTGGGAGACCCAGCTCTTCTCTTGGCCCTGCTGCTAATTAGGTGCGTGACCCTGAGTAGCTGACCTAATTGAACTAGACCTTGATTTCCTGGAGATAGCAGAATCAAAGATCTCAAAGGTGACTAGACTGAAAAACCTATGACCTGATGAAATGCTCTTTTCCACACAGGAATCTGTGCCACCAAGAAACCATTCTGTGTGTGTGTGTGTGTGTAAAACCCAAATGCAGTCCTAAGACCATCCAACTAAAAATCAAGGCACCAAATGAGCCCCTTTAAACTGATGGTGTCTGGTATCAGAGCTGGGGACTCTCGGGAACAAAGGCCTGATAGGATGATGGAGGTGACCCCAACAGAGATGTGAAGGTGAGCTCTCCCTTGCTGGAGAGCCTTTCATTTGGCAATATCCTGAACTAAGCGGAGAGGTGATGATCTAAGGGTCACAGAAAGAAAAAGGATTGTTTTCTTGTAAAACGACTGTAACTTTAAAATAATTGGCTGCAGGGCCATAGAGCATTCTGCCAGGTGATTTCAAAATTGAGACACTCAACTGTGGAGTTCACAGCAGTGTCACCGACAAAAACCATAATGTACATTTGCACAGAACCTTTATCTTTTACAAGCATCTTCCCATCTATTTTTCTCATTTTGCCGTTCCCTAATTTTTCAGAAAACCGGCCTGGGGTCATTTCTTTAAAAATTCTGAAAAGTATGAGTTTCCAGGGGAAACAAAGCTAGCTGAGTATACTGCGCCTTGCTTTATAAATGCAGATATGCCTTTGAAAAAGTTATGTTACATGTAAATCAAATGGTGTAGGTCACATCTTATTTTCACAGGCAGGAGGAATGTGAAAACAAATCTTGTGTAGGATTTTGGGCTATAAATAATCCTTTCTCGTTACTCTGTTAACTCAGATTAACTGTTAATCTGTTACAATTCTGGATTTTTAGATATCAGCTTTTCTTAAAGTAAGGCCACATGGATTCCAGGGTCTGTGTCCATTCTCCAGAGTCCCATGAGGGTGGCGTCTAATTCAATCAGAGGGAGAGGTGGTGGTTTCTGACTCCTCATTGTGGAATGTCAGCAGCTTTATATGTCAGTCACGGAGCTCTTTGGGGCTACCTCACCCATAAACAAAACAACCAAACCAAACCAAACCGAGGAAGCAGGGGAAGGGACGGAGGAATCCAAATGTACCAGCCGAATTATTTCTAGATGAAATGTCTCCAGGTCTTCTGTGAGTCACCGATGTGTCGTTAATGCGCTGTTATAAATAGTTCAGCTTGCCATCAGTAACTGATCTATAAGAGAGCAGCTGGCGGTTGGGGTGTGAAGTTAACACTGGGATGGATCTGTTAACCCTCTCATGTAAATAAGCACCATCCCCTGGGACTAGAACCTGAAAGAAATGAGACTAAATTTAATAAAAGTAATAAATTCCTCCTGCCTTCCCTGCTTCCTCCTAAACTGTGGTAGAAGACACATCTTAGGAGCCGTAGGACTATACTGATTGCTCTGAACCTCAACTGTCTCACCTCTGAAATTAGGCTGGCAGTATCCACCCATAAAATCCACAATGACATTGTGAGAGGTTTGGAATTATTTTGCATGGGGAAGTTTGAACAAGGAATCACAGCTTGCATGATTAAGAATAAAGGAAAAAGCTCTTTTTGGGGGTAATGTAAGCTAGAAGAGCTGGAAAAATTCTTATTGTAAAAGACTGGAAACTCTTTGAAAAGTTTGATTTTGGTTTGACTAAAGGAAATATGTCTCTCATCTTTATTGGCGGGCTCTGAGCTGTACAGGCTTGCTTACCATGAGTAGCGAGGATTTTCACTAAAGGGCTCTGGAGTAAGCCTGCTGAAGCACTTTCTCACAAAGGCTCAAGAAGCTGAAGTTGAGCTTTTGTGAAATCGAGCTAAAATACACACATGTGGGTACACAGGGTGTGTGCTGTGCATGCCTCAGGGCTACGAGGGCACATGTGGCGCTGGCGACAACCCCGCTAGTAATTACGCTCTACACGCCCTGGTGTGCATGCATGCGTTCTACATGGGAAATCATTCAGAAACTAAAAAAAAGCAAAACAAAAAAAAACCAAACAGACAAAAAATGAAAATACTATTCTTATTTGCTGAAATGTTCTTGAAACCCTACATGGATTCATGGCTCATAAATAATTATCTGTTTGTAAATTTAGGGCTAGTAATGGGAACAGAATAAGCAGCTGTAAACAAAAATCACAATTCAGGTTTCACTAAAGACACGGTGAAGGCCCCAAATAGCATAGCTGCTAGAGAATACAGACACGATCTATCCAAACACTGTGGTTAAGGATACTCTGAATAGTCACTTTTTGGAAAGAGGTAGGTGGATGGAACCATTGAAAGTCGCCATCAGTGAGTTCACATCAGAACCTTGGACAGCTCCCAGGAAGCTCGCCCACAGACTAGAGCAAATCTCAATATAGCTCCAGCTTTCTAAGTTTTCCTTGCATTCCAACGAGTATGCTGATGATCTGATGATCAACTAATAAATGCACAATAATTAATTTGTAATAACACTGACTCCTTTCTCTCTCCATTCTCTTTACCACCAGACTTTCATTCTACCCTTTTCCCCAGCACCTTACGGTCAGACAGAGGGACTGTCTTGTACAAACACCTGGTATGGATGTTTTCACGCCCACTTCTAATTGGTTGGGAAGCAGCATTTGCCACAGGCACTGTTTAATTTCGTTTCCATCCCCTGCGTCTCACAGGAGAGAAACGGTCAATAGTTCGGACAGAAGAATCATCCTGGTCAGCTCCAAAATATGGCTACTTGCATGGTAATCACGGCAAGTCTGTCAAAGCAGGTGATTTCTTGATTCCTAAAAGGAGGGGACTTTTCCTAAGGATTATGGTTCTACCACCCAAGCAGCAGCGCTGCTCGTCACCAGTGGCTGCAAAGGCTGGCGAACCAAGAGGTCTGCTTTGGCTCAGAAACTCAGTTTGGCTCCCGCCACCCCTGGTGGCCTCACTGCGTGTCTCCGCGGCATGTGCTCCCCACACAGTCAGGCCAGTCTGCTGCTACTTAGGGGGGATCACCACCAGAGGCGGCCCCCGCTTGGGCCTCCACATGAGGACCTGTGCGTCATTGGCATTGGGTTTCACTAGTGCGTTGGGAGGGATGGGTTCCATCCGGCTCAGGATCCGGGGCTGCTCCTGCTGAGTCCTGCCCACCAGCCGGGCCCGCTGCCCCAAGAGCTGAAGAGGGTCCACCTGGATGTCCACCCTCATCCTCCACTTGATGGTCTGCAGAATGATTTTCTCCTTCGTGGTCGTGTTCATGGCCACCAGCCAGGTGGTAAAACTTTGGTCCCTCTTGATCCTGGTGAGCAGTGGCACATTGCTGTCACTCACTGGCACTGCCCACGTCACGCTCGGGTAGAAGTTGTCATTCATGCTGACGGAGAACCTGGAGATCTTGTTGGTGGGGCCAACCAGGGTCACAGTTTCTGTGGTGTTCCCGTACCAAGGGTAGCTCACCCCATCTGAGTCACTGATGGCTTTTACTCTCCCTTCCCTCAGGTCGGGCAGTTCCCAGCTTGACCTGGCAAAGCAGAAGAGATGCACAAGAAAAGGCTAAATGAATCTTTCAGAAGCTGGAGAGGGGCCTGTCACTTACTAATGCAGCCAAGGTGGGCAAATGGGATGTTTGGAGGGGAAGTCACCTCAGAAAGTCCTATGTTGTGCTGTTTTGAGGATTAAATAGGAAGAAAATTTGAAAACCCACAAAAACATAAGAGTAATACCAAAAACAAGTTAAATAGAACCATAGCTGGTCCAACTAACTGAAAGCAGAAAGCTCAAAGGCATTTGAGACATCCACAGAGAGGCATCGAGTCTTTGGGATGGTGGAATAATCCGCCATTGAGAGGCATTCCACTGCAAGAACCACTTTCTTGGGACGTATGAGTGTGTGTAAGGTTTGTTTCTTGGAAAGAGATGGTGGTTAAAATTTGATATACAGTAATACCTTGGTTTGTGAGCATAATTTCGTTCTGGAAACAAACTACTCATATTGCAAGACGTCGCTTGTTTACCAAGTTAAAATGTATTAGAAATGTTTGCTTGTCGTGCATAACACTTGCAAACCAAGTTACTCGCAATACAAGATTTTTACTGTATTTGGAAGGCGCTATGGTGGCAAGGAGGGCAAAAGGAGGCAAGGTTAAGGTTACACTAATTCCTAGGAGCTCATAGAATTTAAATTCCAGCCACTGGCCAATCCAGCACTTAGGAGACATTGACACAGAAACTGATAACACAGGAGATAGTGGTCACTTTCTGAAAACCACTTCAATGTGGATGTTGTGCTGCAGGCTGGCACACAGTCTTTTAAATGCTGTTCTCACATTGACGTCAGTCCAGCCTGTAAGTCCAATTGCTTAGTTTAGAAACTTGCCATCTGGGGCACTTTCCTCTTCCTGGCTGCCCCCGTCCATGTACAGGAGGGAGGAAGACATGTGTCCCACTCTTAGCCCAGTCTCTCCCCTGCCATGGGTTTATCACCACCACCGTCATCATCATCTTCACGTCACCATCACCACCACCATCATTGTCACCATCATCATCATCGTCACCATCACATCACCCCATCACCATCATCACCATCATCACCATCCTTACCATCACCATCATCACCACCACTATCATCATAGCTGATACTTATTGAGAACTTGCTCTATTCCAACCACTGTGACTCTGTTTTCTCAGTTAATGCTCAAAATATCCCACAAGATAAATGGATTTTCATTTCCCTTTACACAGGAGAGGATGGAGGCACTTCAAACTCCACATGGCCCAAACCAACCTCATCATCTCCTCCACAAACGTGGCCCTCTCGCCCGTCTCCGCGGCAGCGGTGGCCCAGCGCTCACTGCCTGCCAGGCCACAGGGGAGGCGCGTCTCTGGCTCTCCCTGTGCCCGCTCCTAGACTGCCACACCTACTGTGTCACCGCATCCTGTGAATTTTGCCCGGTAAGTGATGCTTGAGTTTATCTCCTTTTCTCCATGCAGCTCTCGCTGCCTTCACTTCATCCAAGCCCTCAGCAGCGCTGACCTGCTCTTCCGTGTAGTCCATCACTGGTCTCTCGGCCTCAGGCCCCAATCCCTCTCAAATTCGTCTTTTAGGATGCACTGGTGTTCAGACATGCAGACCTCGTTACGTCCTTTCTATGCCTGAAACCCTTCTACGTGGGCCCCACTGGCATCAACCACGGGATAAAATTCAAGTTCCTTAATGGACAGAAAGGACATATACGGCCCTCACGGTTGGGCCACCCATCCCCACACCACGCTGCTGCTCACCTGGGCTCATGCTCTGCCCTTTACCTGCCTGTTCCCTTCTAAAAATCTCACTGTAGCTAACTGCTCATCCTTTGAGAAGCATTGCATGTGTCACTTCCTCCAGGAAGCCTTCCTTTCCGTGCTGCCATGGACAGATCCGGATCTTTACAGGTCGCAGGTTGTAATTATTTGTTTCTCTGTCTGTCTTCCCCATTAGATGAGTTCTTTAAGGCTTGGAATTGTGACTTATTTCTGAATTAGTGCCTGGCACATTAATATATTTTTGTTGAATGAATAAATAACTATCTTTAATCCTTTATATAGCTATATTCCTGGGGCTTGGTACAGCTGGGATACTACAAAGTGCTTTATTAGAGTTTTACACTTTATATATTCACGCACCTTAAAAAAGTAGTAACATCCACTATTCATTTAGGATCGGTCATTAGACTAGTACCAGGCCTAACATTGAAAGTTATTTCTGCTTGAGGAGGAGGCAGACAGGCCACACATAAGTAGAAATGAATGAATGAATTGGTGACTATAAAGGATACTTAGTGACTGTTCATGCCATCAGATACCTGCATGTAAAAACAAGTGACACGGACTCCAAGTGATACATTAGTCAGAGACACAGACATTGTGTGAGCTATCGCAGGGGAGAGCTCGGCGGAGGACATGGGCTGTGAACTGTGAAGAATAAAGGAGAGAAAGGCACCCCCAGGTGATACGTTCCATCACGGGTGATCACGTGACATCAAACATGAACAGAGTGTCCGGGAAACAGAGGGACCACCTGGGAGGGCTAGCGTTGGGAAGTGTGGAGATGAGGCTGGGTGTGCAGGTGGGGTCAGGCTGCGAAGTGCCTTTAATATGGGCTCAGGCTTTGGGCTTCATCCTGTGGGTGGTGGGACTTCTGAGCAGGAGAGGGATGTGCCAGGAAGAACGGTAATGTAGAAAGGAGAATTAGAGGGCTACAGGGGGAAGCGGGGGCGTTTAGGAGCCCTTGCAACATTCTAGGTGCTCTTTAATGAGGCTTCATGTAGGCTGGTGGCTGGGGGGATGGAGCGGAGGGGCCACATCTAAGGTAGATGATCTGAGGTCTGGTAACTGGTTGTCCATCAGGGACAAAGCGGGGACAAAGACGAGCAGTCATTCTGGAGAGCCAAGCACGGCTGGCTGGTGTCTGTCTGTCTCTCTGTCTCTCTCTGTCTCTCTGTCTGTCTGTGTCTCTCTGTCTCTCTCTCTATCTCTCTGTCTCTCTCCCTCTCTCCTCTCAGGAGTGACAAGGTGGGTCTCAGTGTCGCTAACCTTCCACACCCACGAGCCCTGACTCCTCCACTGGAGAGTGAGGATGTGGTCTTGTTGGGTTCCCGGCCCAGAACCGGGTGTCTGGCACACGGGCCATGCTCAGCACTGTTTCTCCCGGCATCTCACTCCTCCTCACCGTCCTTGGCTGGCTCTGCTCGCCTCTTAGCCTTTTAACTTTGCAGGGCCAGATCTCAGTCTTTGGTCCGCTTCTCCTTTTGATCTACTCACACTCCCTTGGTGATCTCATCTGTCTCGGGACTGTAAGTACCATCTACACCCTGATGACTTCCAAGTTTCTGTCTCCAGCCTGGGTTGGCCCCCACCCCTGCGCCGCCCCCGCCCGCCCGGAGCTCCAGACCCACATACCCAACTGCCCATTTGCCAACATCTTTGGCGTCACTCTTGACCACTCTCTCACATTCCACGTACTATCAGCAAATCCTGTTGCTGTCACCAAAATATATCTGGAACTCCTTCCCATCACTTCTGCCACTGTGACTCTGGTCCAAGCTGGAGCTGTCTCTCCTGGGTTACGGTGACAGCTTCCTAACAGTCTCCGCTCTGCTGCCCTGGTCTAGTTTCAACATGGCAGCCACAGTGATGTGTTACACACGTGAAACCACGTCGCTCCTCTGCTCACCAAGTTCCATGGCTCCTAAGCCACCCAGGAAAAGCCCTTAAAAGGACCTGAGAGAAAGATGGGAGGCGGTGGCTATGAGGTTCAGCTGACATGCGGCTGCCTCTGTGGAGTTGCAAAGTTGGGTCTAGAGCTTAGGAGAAAGTCGGGGCTGGAGAGGTGACGTTGGCAGCTGTCTGTATGGAGAGGGTCAGTGGATGTGATGGTGACGGTGAGATCTCTGGGGATGAAAGACCTAAGCAGGCTGGTTTGATGGCCAGACGACCAAGAGAAGTCGGAAAAGTGGAAGAGCCAGTGGCAGGGGGAGCTGCTTTCCAAAGTCAAGAGAACGCCAGGGCGTCACCTGTGTCAAAAGTCCCATAAACCGGAGAGAGTGGGGTGAAGAGAAAGCCAAGTAGATTTATTCATGACCAGAGAGCAGTAGAGAATGCTGGTGGAGGCCATGCTGCCAGGGGTTACGGAGTAACCAGCAAGCACGAGCAAAAGCTGGGCACTCACGGAATTCCGTCAGGAAGGTGGCAAGGAAGCAGGGAGCGAGGTGCCGCGGGGAGCCGGCCGAGCGCAGGGTTCCCGGGGACAGACTCCAGGGCTTGTCAACCTAGGGCGGCCACTTCCTAGGGTGTGAACGAGACATGGCCCTACACTTTCTGTACCAGCTCCCCGTCGATAAAACAGGCGTGATCATAGGACTAGGACGGCCTTGCTGTGAGAATGAAATGAGACACAAATACTTAGCACGGTGTACGGCCCAAAGGGAATGACACTGAAGTCTAGGTCTTAGTAAGGGACAGAGACGGGGGGAGAAGGAAGCGAACAGCCCTGGAACCTTCCCGGTGCAGACACACAACAGCAGCCATCGGAGGCAGGGGCCAGTATGTGCTGCTCACACACAAGGGAAAAGCAGCTCAACTGGCCAAGGTCACGTGGGCGGGAAGGGGTGGCGCCAGGCGTCTCTGACCACGAACCCTGCCTGTTCTACTGCCCCTCTCTGGGGGCAGCTGCTTGGTTTCTCCCTGTCATCCCCGCTTCCTCCAAGTCTTCGACCTGGCGAACGGAGGAAACTCCGTGTCAGCTTGCTGACCTCAGGAAGGTCACTCCCCCCAGCCGCGGGCTCCTCACGCGTACCATGGGAGGAAAACTAGCTGGCGACTCCTTACATCTCAGAGCTGTTACAGGGCTCAGGCGAAGTGACGGTGTGTGAGCAAAGGCTCGGGAACGAACACGCCAGGTCGATGTTAGATAATAACTGGCTTTCTCCGCCTCCTCCTCCAGCCTTTCTCCTCACCGTGATAAACACTGTGCTTGCGTTTTAGACAATCAGCCATTGACCCAAGAGCTCACAGCTAATGGACTCGCCAATGGAGCTAATAATGAAAACATTGATTATTGCAACCGTTATGCTTTCTGCATCCTGTCCTTAGAAGAAAGAGGCAAATCTCAATCAAACAAGTTCACATGAAGCATTTCATTAAAATAAATGGTCCCTGGATGGAGGTCCCGGCTCCACCCAGACCCAGCCAGTTCTCCAGCGCCCACCAGGGCAGAGCCACCTCGCTGAAGAGCCCCCCTGAAGCCCTGTGGTCACTCGGGGTGGGGGTGGCAGCATTCTTGAAGGCAGGGAGGGGGCAGGTGTGCAGGGCGCTGACACTAATGTCCCCTGATGGAGGTGGGATGGGAGTCGGGACCACACCCACACGGAGGATGCCCGCAGAGCACCCAGAGGAGGCCTGGAGATTCGCAATGGTGCCGCCCCTGGGCTCAGGTGACAGGAGCCCCCCGCCTGGCCCCACTCGGGTATCTCCCGGCCATGCCCTTCCACACTGAGCAAGGGGGCTGTGGGGACCTGTGCCCTGCTTTAGACCACACTCTGGGGGTTGGGGCCTCAGTGTTCCCCCCCAGCTGCCCCCACACTTGCCTCCAGGGCTGACGCAGGCCTGTTTCTGGTCTGTCTTCCTAAATGAGGGGCGGCACTCCACGTGAGTGTGCGCCCTGGGCCCAGCGGCGGCCACAGCAGCTGCGTTAGCTGCACTGCACTTTGATGGCGGGTAAGGGGCTCCCGCCTGCTCTCTCGTCTTCAGGGCTCAGCCCTAAAAGTCACCACTCAGGACGTGGGGAGTTCAGTTAGAGGAACCCCACGTTTTCTGAGAAGTCAGGCTTCTCCCTCTAGCGCTGAGAAGAGCAATGTGCCCACGTGCCCGCGGGCCTGCTGCTCAGTGTCACTGACTCAGCAGAGGCAGAGCCTGGCACCTTTCTGCCCCCTCAACCCCTCCACAGGAGCTGGAAACAAGAGTTCAGGGTGGGAGGTTAAGAGAGGAGAGGGGCAGGGGGGCTGTGCCGGGAGGTGGGGCGGCCGGAGGGGCTCCACACCAGTGCCCCGTGAACCAGGCGAGTCACGAAGCCCACAGCCTCTGGGCCGCCTCTCGGCCCACACAGACGCCAGTCCCAGCCCCCGCGCGGGTCCGGCGCTCAGAGGGTTTGCACCATGATTACAGGGTAAGTTTTAAAATTAGGTTTCCTCATTCTGCAGCCTGTGAATACCAGCCTCCCGCCTCCCCTCCCCTCTTCCTTCCCGACCACATCCTTTCCTTTCTGGCACTTTTTCCCACAGCAGAAAAGACCATTTCCAGTGTTTTAAAGAGCCCTTGGGGTAGGTAGGTACAGGCCCCAGGTTGAGGGGAAGGCCTCTCTCGTCAGCATTCTCCTGTGTTTGGACTGGGTCCCTCTAGGGCTGGGGACACCTTCTCATGACAGATTTGCCCTCCACTTCTTGGAGGTCAGGCCCTCTCGGACCCCCGTCCCGGCTGGCTTCTTCCCTTTTGACAGCCCTGAGGTCTCGGCTCAGGGGCCAGTTTTGGGGGTCGTGTCTGACTACACTTCTGAGACACTTGGAGCAGAGCGCCTCCCCACACCGAGAGCTGCAGGCTGAGGAGCCCCAAACACCATCCTGACGCAGGCCTGTGGGTGGCCGTGCAGGCCGGGCTGTGTCCCCAAGGAGCTGGCCAGGCACGGCCGGGTCTGTGCCAGGCCTCGGGGAGCTCATGGCCTCCCTGAGGTGACGGGTCAGATGGCCTCCCGATGGGACACACAGCAGAGTTTGTCCCTTCTCGATCTGCATGGCCACGGCCCCGCTCCCAGCCACTTCTCCCCCGGACACTGCAACGACCTTCTGGGCCCCGTGCCCAAGCTCGCCCTGCCCCCGCAAGCCACAGATGTGGCTTTAAAAACATCAGTCAGATCCTGCCTCACCTCTGAGAGACCCCCAAACCGGCCTCTCACGCCGCCACAGGGCACTGTCTGGCCCCCACCCGCCCCCGGCTGCGCCTCTACCACCTCCCGGGCTCCTTGCGCCCCAGGACCCCGACGCGCTTGTCCTGCAGCAAGACGAGCCCCCTCCCACCTCTGGGCCTT